AGCCCTGGGACCCATTTTCGTGCCCCCGGACACCGCGGCTGGCCTTGCTCCTGGGTGTAGACATCTCTACTCTCCCGCCAGCTCCTTAAGGACTCGATGTGGCTTCCTCCTTCCCTCCCTTCCTCTCCCCAGAGCACCCAGCACAGCCTCTTGCATATTGCAGGTACTCGATAAATGTTTACCAAATTTAGTCGAAATCACATCAACCAAACAACGTCTCCCTGCCCTTCGGTTTCAGTGCTCCGTCCTTCCCGTGAATGGCTTCCAAACAAGGAATGCAAAGGATGGCGTAGGATCATAAACCCCAGGGCGCCTGGGTGGCTCAGTCGGTTGGGCATCCAATTTCGGCTCAGGCCACGTTCTCATGGTTTGTGGGTTCAAACCCTGCATTGGGCTTTGTGCTGGAGGTGTGGAGCCTGCTTTGGATTCTCTGTCTCCCACTCTCTCTGTGCCCCTCCCCTGCTCACACACTCTCTCTCAAAGATAAATAAACATTAAAAAAATCATAAATCTTACTGGGGAAGACTCATCTGGTCCTATCTATTATACACTGGAAGGATTCTTTCCGTGCCAGACTCAAAGGATGGTCCCCCAGCAGTGACGGGGACCTCACTACCTGTGAGGTACAACACTCCTTCAAATGCTCCAGTGGGCATTCTTGTGTCCAAGTGAAATCTTTCCCCTCCTTAAATGCCTGCTCCTGGGAGCAGTGCAGCATGCATATAGCCCCTCCCTGACGATGGACCCTCCACCAGCCAGAAGCCATTAGGACCCCCCTAAGCCTTGTACTTAGCTCTTCCTACCTTTCCATAGGAGCCATGGTTTCGAGGTCTGTCACTGTTGTCCCCTCGTCTCATCCATCCCCTCCTTGGGGAACCCCTCTGGATGTCTTCCCGCCAGCCAGGACTCCTCTGGGCAGGAAGCCACACTTCCCCACCAGGCCCGATCACAGACCTCACGAAGAATGAAACCTCCCAATTCGGTACTCCCAATCTGAATTGGGGCTAAATACAGCTGGATTCACTTTTTTTTTTTATTTTTTAATGTTGGTTTTTTTTTTGAGAGAGAGAGAGAGAGAGAGAGAGAGAGAGAGTGAGCGGGGGAGGGGCAAAGAGGGGGGAGACAGAGAATCGGAGGCAGGCTCCAGGCTCCGAGCTGTCAGCACAGAGCCCGACGTGGGGCTCGAACTCATGCACCAGGAAATCATGACCTGAGCCAAAGTTGGACGCTTAACCGACCGAGCCACCCAGGCGCCCCCGGATTCACCTTATTAGCCCCAAATCGCACTGCTGGCATATTGTTAGTAATTAAATTTTCTGATCTTTTTTTTTTTTTTTTTTTTCAACGTTTATTTATTTTTGGGACAGAGAGAGACAGAGCATGAACGGGGGAGGGGCAGAGAGAGAGGGAGACACAGAATCTGAAGCAGGCTCCAGGCTCCGAGCCATCAGCCCAGAGCCCGACGCGGGGCTCGAACTCCCGGACCGCGAGATCGTGACCTGGCCGAAGTCGGACGCTCAACCGACGGCGCCACCCAGGCGCCCCTAAATTTTCTGATCTTTTTAAAAGCGGCGTCACACCAGATCATCCCCAATCTACACGCATGGACGTTATTATAAACAGACCAAAGAAGTTTCATTTCCCCTGTGACATGTTACTGGTGATTTTTGAATCTGGACTTGGCGTATGCAACGGTTTCGCCGATGCGCAGAATTTCATCATCTCACAGTTTTGCGAGTGTGGATTCCGCACCTCCAACCCCACCTCCAGAGGATGTCCAGAGACCCGGGCGCGTCGCCACACACTCACCACACGTGCAGAGGCTTTCCCACTCCCCACATCTTGCGTGGGAAGTGGTTTTCTCTGGTCTGTCTTGCAGAAACTCTCTAATTAGGTCAGTGAGTCCGATGACGTGAATTAGGCCCATCCAGGCTCCACAAATACAGTAACTCAATTAAGGCCCAACAGGGCTTGACTCTCTGAGAAATAACACAATTTAAGTTCCCCAGTGAAAACCAGGAGCAGAGAACAACTCGATTACCAGGGTCCTGGGGAAGCGGCCAGGGCACTTGGGACCTAATCTGGGGGGAAACATGGAGTCCGGCCGCCCTGTGGCATGTGCTAAACACCATGAGAAGATGTGGCCGTGCTCCACGAGGCTTCCCGGTGGAAATGTGAAAAGCCCAGCAAACGATCAGACCCGTTTCACAGCAGAACCATGAGAGGGGGAACCCTGACCAGGAAATTTTAACATGAAGTGCTTTCTGTATCTTTGTGAATGAGGAATAACCAAAACCATATTTGCAAAACTTCAAGAGTCCCACTCCAGTTGGCTGCAAATTCTTAAACATTAATGGAAGTGTTAACATAATCGTTGTGTTCAAAGGGAGAACATATTTTGACAGTGCTTTCATTTCATAATCCTTCCGCTCTATTTCACCATCTTTGGTGGCTGAGAACTAACACCGATTAATTAAAAACACAGAATTACGCAGTTTCATTTTTGTGTTCGAGAAAAAAAAAAAAGGCACAAATTAACTTCAGCATGCTTACGAATAAATGCACGCTTTTAAAATCAGTTTGCTTTGGATCTTGGGTCCTTTCTTGTGACCCTCAAAATGCATTACGTGGGTGAGACAATCATGAGTAACTGATTCCTAGCGGAAGAAAAAGTATCCTACCTTCTTCAGTGATTCACATTTTTTTAAATTTTTTTTTTTCCAACGTTTATTTATTTTTGGGACAGAGAGAGACAGAGCATGAACGGGGGAGGGGCAGAGAGAGAGGGAGACACAGAATCGGAAACAGGCTCCAGGCTCCGAGCCATCAGCCCAGAGCCTGACGTGGGGCTCGAACTCCCGGACCGCGAGATCGTGACCTGGCTGAAGTCGGAGGCTTAACCGACTGCGCCACCCAGGTGCCCCAGTGATTCACATTTTAAAAGAACACTTGTGCTCCCAAATCAGGGTCCTCGATGGGGCTATTTCAAAGCAGTCTTTTTTTTTTTTTTTTTTCTTAGGTTTGAATGTGTTGGCATGGAACAAAAATATGAACCTGTAAGCTTCTGCCTAAAAGTTTCCGGGCACAAAGCTCTCCCTTCTACGAGGCAGGAAGAGCCAGGGTCACCATCCAGGTTACCATGTGTGATCCAAGAGGATGTGAGGCCCAGTGATGTCTAACCAGCCTGGATGCTGATCCCGGGACACGCCATGGCAGCAGTTTGAAAAGGATGCGGTTCACTCACCCTCTGAGAAGTTTGAAAAGCATGCAGCCCAGGGAGAACCAGTCAGCACTGCTGTCATACGCCGTCCCCTTCTGCAGCACCTCGGGAGCCATGTACCCATGGGTGCCACTAGGGAGAAGAAAGTGTACACGCAGTTAGGAAGGCATGCCCACCTTAGGAAATGTCAACAGCTCGACAAGGGGTTCAGACGCCATTTGTTAAATGGCAGCGGCCGTAAAGGAGGCGGAGGGGACGATGGGGGGCCCGCCCAACGTGAGCCATGCAGCACCCAATGGGAAATCGACCGTTTCCGTCTTCGTTAGTGTAGGAGTGAATATAAACAAATGACAGTATGAGGTAAACGTGAGAGAACGCAAGGTCCGGTCTGGGAGGGGAAATCTGAACCATGTTGGTCTTCCTGCACTACCGCGATGGAGAGCTAGAGGGTCTCCTGCCCGGTCCAGAGCTCCAGTGAGGCTGCACAAGGGGCAGAGGTGAAGTGGGGGAGGGGACGATAAGCGGGCACCTACAGGTGGTGCCACGGACCAGAAGGGATGGGGACATCCCTCCTGTGTGGTGCCACCCTCTGTGCCGAGGACCTGGGCGGACACATGGTAAGCGTGGGGGCTACTTACTCACAGAGACAGCGACAGACCCTGAGGGAGTGGGGAAGAAGACGGGCACAAGCCGGCAGGTACAAAAGACAGAGAAATCCAGAGCACCCAGGTGGCTCAGTAGGTTATGAATCCGACTTTTTTTTTTTTAACATTTATTCATTTTTTGAGAGAGAGAGAGAGAGAGAGAGAGAGACAATGTGAGCAGGGGAGGGACAGAGAAAGGGAGACACAGAATCTGGAGCAGGCTCCAGGCTCCGAGCTGTCAGCACAGAGCCCGAAGCGGGGCTCAAATGCACGAACCAGGAAGGAGATCCTGACCAGAGCCGAAGTTGGATGCTTAACTGACTAAACCACTCAGGCACCCCTAAGTGGTTGACTCTTGATCTCAGCTCAGATCAAAATCTCACAGTTTGTGAGATCAAGCCCTGCGTTGGGCTCTGCACTGACAGCGTACAGCCTGCTTGGGATCTCTCTCTTTCTGTCCCACGCCCTGCCCCCCACTCTCTCTCTTAAAATAAACTTAAAAAAATTTTTAAAAAGTAAAAAAGATAGAGAAACCCTGTGTCAGGTTTTAAGGGCTACTGACACGTCAGAGGACCCGGCTAAGCAAATGTGAGGATGCTTTTCAGAAGCTGAAAGATTTGGGAGGACAACCGTTTTATCTGCAACTTGCACTCTTCTGCAACTTCGAATCCCCTCCCATTGGTTGATTCTGGGCTCCTCCTTAAGGATCCGAGTGTGCACTGTTCCATCTAGGAGAGCAAGAGGGGGCTCACGGGGGCTTGCAAAGACGCAGCCCGACAGGGCACCTGCAAAAGCCACACCCTCCAACCTGTCCACCCCTCACTGATCTTCTTCCCAGACAAGACGGGTGATAAGACAACACTTCATTGCGCAAGGTTGCCGTGTGGATTACATATACGTGATGGGTTAAGAACAGTCCTGGCACAGAAGAACTCAATCCACGTCAGGGCCTTTAATCTCTACTCTTATTATAATCACTTTTAAGTTATGCTCACTGAGAATCTGCTCAGAAAGTGCTCCTGGATCACTCATGATCATTACTGACCCAGGATCAGCACTGTGCCCAGAGCTCTCTGTCTAACGAGTTCTATTTGGAAGGCTGCTCTCAGACAGTGAACAGGGGCGCTGGTCCTTCACAGGCGGGTCCAGCACCAGCAGTAGCCCCACCATCCGGAATCCAAAGTCTGATGGCATAAGGTCACCTAGCCACACTGTGAGGGTACTGGAGATTTCTATGAGGGGTCTCCAAACCAGTCTCTGGGAAGGGTTAATTTCAGTGTTGCCCGGACAGACCTTTGTCGTGAATTGTGAGCCTATGATTCTTGGGATCAGAACCCAATTCTGGAAAGGGAAAGTACAGCGAGGGTAAACACAATAGGTTAATGCAGATCAGCTCTCTAAGATGATGACACTGGCCACAATAGGAGCCAAATACCGGTCCACCTGCCCCCATGGCTTTCTGACTCTGCCCGCATGGCAGCTACTGATGCTTCCTGACAACACTGTCCCCTGACGATCCGAACTACTACAAATACTGAAAGAACACGTGAAGGTTTTGAGAACACTGTGACATGAGATGCAACTTTGTGTTCTTACAGCAAATAAGCTGGAACTCAAATCGGGCACTGGTAATCTGTTCAATTACAGAAGTTTTTGACTTTTCGGGGCCACTGCACAGTTAACTTTCCATTTACAATAATTCTTGATCCCGTCATTAAATGGACTAAACCTAAGCCCAAACTGGGGACCTCAACCACAACACTTCTTGTAGGTGGACCAGCCAGATGGAGTCCAGGGATCACATCTACATTTCTGAAAAGACTCGAGAAACCAAGTCCAGGGTGAAATTCTGGCCCTAAATTACTCATCGAGCCTCCGGGAGGTCGCCTGAGTATAAGCTCTGGAGACCGAAATGGACTGCAATTCTAGCCCCACAATGTGCCAGGGCTGTGACCTTGATTTCTCTGGACTTCAGGGACCGTACCATAAAGTAGATAATTCTACCTATAACGTCTGGTGCTTCTATGAAGATCATAGCGTATTCACAGCAGCTGAGCACGCCTGGGACAGCGGATGTTCAACCGATGACACGGTGAGCGCTGTGGCTCCTGGCACACCACCACCCACTCAAGGGCCACCTCCCGCACAGCCGGCTCCAAGGGTCCCCACAGCATTGCCTGCTCCTAGCACCCGGCCAATGTCACATTAAAAACTTGCCGTATTAGTCGGTTGACTTGACCTTCACAACAATCAGACGAAATAAACTTTGTTGTTATGTCCTTTTTAGAGAGGGGAGAAGGGAAGCACGGCTTGGAAGAGGATTCGAACCCAGATCTGCTGACTCAGAAGCCTGTTCCTATCCCAGTCATGCCCCTCTACTTAAAAAAAAAAGGATCTGGTTGCGCCTTTATCTTTTTTTTATAGTGGCCTCACTACGATCATGTAAGCGTAGAAACCAACCTTCCCACGTCTACCCCTTTTTGTAGCTGCTGCTGGAATCTTGAGAACAGCCCGCCTCCTGGGGCCGACAGGTGAATTACAGTAAGAAGCGGGTGCAGCTCTGTAAGGAAATAAATTAACGCCATCCCATCGCTGCAAGTTAATTCCTTTGCAAGATTAACTTTTCTGAGCTCTCGGATTCGTATTCGGTGGCGGCCACACTAAATTGAAGAAATTAGCATACCAAATGGCTGCAGCATTAAAAATTCAAACAACCCTCTTAAAAACGTCTGATGAACTTGCCGAGAGAAGCTTATACGACCACAAGTTCTGGCCTCGTAATTGTAAAGTGCCGGCAAAATGCGAACGCTGTTATCACAGCGCCCCGGCTTCTGAGGGAAGGGGGAAACGTGTTTACAGAATCGGTGCTATCCTCCGTTCACATCCGATCGGGGCCTCACAAGGCGCTTCTGATTTACCGCAGGCCCTCCTCCAACACCGCCACGCAGGGCCACCTCCAGACCCACAAAAAGAAGGGTCTGGGCTTTAGTTTCTGTATGGATGCGTGACAGGAGACCCCGGGGAGTTTCGTCAGCCCCATTCACCACAGAGATGAATGTCAGCTCCAGGTGGACAATGAAAATGTAATTTTCGGGGCGCCTGGGTGGCGCAGTCGGTTAAGCGTCCGACTTCAGCCAGGTCACGATCTCGCGGTCCGTGAGTTCGAGCCCCGCGTCGGGCTCTGGGCTGATGGCTCAGAGCCTGGAGCCTGTTTCCGATTCTGTGTCTCCCTCTCTCTCTGCCCCTCCCCCGTTCATGCTCTGTCTCTCTCTGTCCCAAAAATAAACAAAGGTTAAAAAAAAAAAAAAAAAGAAAATGTAATTTTCCAAGATTTCAGGGCTGAGAGTGATCCCTTTACAAAGAGAGAGGATAAAAGTAACACGCATCTGCTCTTCCACAAACCGCACACATGTCTACACTCTCCACTCCGATAAACTGATAGCCGAAGAAACAGAAATGACGCGTCATTCTGCTTCTGCGGAGCCCTGGTGTGGTAGCTTTACGCCCCTGTGTTCGAGCTTCCGGGGGAGCGGGGGAGGGGGGGCGTGCGGAGGGGTCGGGTGCTGGCTGGGGGCTGCGGGGCACGGGGTTCCCTCCACATGGTCTGCTGGAGGACTGATGTAATAAATGCTCCAGTCTACCATGACCTGCGAGCAGATGATTTGTGTTTTTAATTAAAAAAAAAAAAAAGAAAAAAGATTCCTAATTTCCCTTCGGGGGGGGAAAAAAAAAGCCATTTTGCAAATGAAGGAGAAAAGTAGCTGGAGAGAGACGCTCGACCTCTGGGCCTCCCTTGGAGCGTTCCACACAGATGCCTCTGCACCTTCCCAGGCACACAGGCTTCCCTTATCCGTAGGACAGACAACTTACAGGCATTTGCTACTGCCTCTACTTTACGGAGAAGACTGCGGTCAAGCAGGTAAACTGACTGACGAGGGTCACCCTGCCATCGTGGGCTCAGGTGTGCTGCAGAGATACCCCGGCCCCTGACATCACTCTCTGGGTCCATCCACGCTCCCCGCTTATCTCGTCTCCCATCGCCAGGGATTGGGGACCTGGCCCCCTCCCAGCATTACCACATATTAAGAATCACCTCTAGCAAGAAAAAGCAGGGGGAGCAAGTGACCAGATCGGGGCCTGAGCGAATCAACGCGTCGTGGAGAGAAACAGGAGTGAAGAGAGTTGATGTGGTACTCACACACTCGCATGTGGCTTCTTTTTGGAAAAGTCACAGGCAAGACCGAGATCGGATATCCTGACGTGTCCGTGTTCATCCAAGAGGATATTTGCAGGCTAAAGAGAAAGACAAGATGATCTTCAAGAGTCCCCAGACTGTCACCGGGCTTTGAGAATTTCTGAAACTATACACACTTGGTAATTTACCGTTTCATCTAAACACAAGTTCCATACTATCACATCCGAGTGGGGTATAACACGGGAAGTAACCCTTTTCACGTTCAAGTCCAGCAGGAAAGTGGCAATGACAGACACAAAAAGGAGCCTACTCATGAGATAAGGAGACACAGGGCAGGGAGCTTTGGGGGGGGGGGGGGGGGGCGGTGGTTATGACCACAGTTCATCAGATAGAAAGTAGTTTCTTTCCCCCGTGGGGACTGTGGCCCGGCCAGAGCAGCGCGCCTCTCCACAAAGGGAGTGAGCCCACCAGCTTCTTGGCTTCTGTGACCCACAAAGGGCTCTGGGAATGAGGCCACGAGGCACGGAACGGAAAGGAACCTCACGAGAATGTACAAACGCTGACCTAAGAAACCAGAACACTCCACAGTGCCACACCGATCTCGAACGGCATGCCTGTGGGTGCGTAATCAGAACACAGGACCCTACCGAATGACCCACAGTGGTTCTCAGCACAACTCCGATGACATATATCCGCTGACATTGGATTTAGCCGACATGAGCAAGGAAATCAAAGCTCCTCTCCCTAATACACGCTGAATTACAGTCATCTTAATATTTTTCTGCTGGAGATCAACTATTGTTTTGCTTGAAATAAAAATAATGGCATGCTATTATCAAACTAAAGCATGAATAATCATGAGCGACTAGAATTCAGTTTGAATAGAAATTAAATACCACTGCCTACTAAATAGCTTCGAAAACAAAAACAAGATACAGCATAGAGATGATTAGAGACCGGTTATAGATTTAAATTAAAATGTATTACAATAGGGCTTCAAGGGCCTTCAGCATGTATTGTATTCTCCTGCAAAACTCACGGAGCAGGGGAACAAACTGTCAGGTGCCAACCACTACCTAATTATTTCTAATTCAATGAAAATATATTTTTGTCTCCTTCATGCTCAGATGAAAACTAAGGGAGTAATTCTGTAACCTTGCAGAAAGCCTTAACTTGTACAAAGCATTTTGTGAAGAAAAAAAAAAGCCAAGAGGCTCAAAAAGAAAATACCATCTTTTAGATTCTTAGAAGGTAACTTTAAATTTTTTTTTTCAACATTTTTATTTATTTTGGGGACAGACAGAGACAGAGCATGAACGGGGGAGGGGCAGAGAGAGAGGGAGACACAGAATCGGAAACAGGCTCCAGGCTCCGAGCCATCAGCCCAGAGCCTGACGCGGGGCTCGAACTCCCGGACCGCGAGATCGTGACCTGGCTGAAGTCGGACGCTTAACCGACTGCGCCACCCAGGTGCCCCTAGAAGGTAACTTTAAAAAGCTAAGGCAGCCGATCAAAACATAGCTACTTAGAGAAAAGGAGCATAAGCTGTACATTTCAGTCGGTGGCCCTGGGTCTGTTCCAGAAGGAATCTGAAAGAGGAGGCAAACACGTCCTCCCGGACTGCTTTCTCTGTTTGGGACACTGTCTCTCCTCTCGTTTTTCTTCGCGTCAACATGTGCCCATTTATGTATCTGCCTGATCATTTCTATCATTTGTCAAGGTCTCTTTTGTCTCTATCCCGGTCTTCTCACCACAAGTGTCCCTATGGACATACTGAGCAAAACCCCAGCTCCCTCATAAACGCAGAACCCAGGACCGAGCATCGTGGTTCAGAAGGGGGAGACTCGGAATGCACTCACTGCCTTTTCTTCCCAGTCCAGGGAGAGTGAGAGTGGAGAAGCCCAGGCACCAACAGTCTAGGGCTCTGCAGTTCAAGGATCTACAAATCTGTTGGTGATTTTGAACACAGTCTTAAAACAATGTGAAACTCTCAGAGTGGCCTGCGGGGGGAAAGTTCTGCAGGCTGATTGGCCCTGCCTCGGAGGAGTTGTGGCTCAGCCGTTCTACGCCTCAGTTTACCGGTGTATGAATCCCAGAAGATGCATGCTCTTTGCTTGTTCAGTTTTGAACATCACGAGTTCTAACATAGAGCCATGGCCGAATCGGCTGCTTAGTGAACATTAAGTGCGTTACAATTAATTGTAAAATCAGCAACACCAAGTAACTCCTGGCTTGCTTTTCATTCATTAACCAATGAAAAACTTTTGAGTTAGTATGTGTGTTGCACCAGGCAGGGTAGGACACACGGGGTGGACAGTGACAACTAGGAAGGAAGGGAGTTCCTGGAACAGGGTTTAGGGTCTGGACAGATGGATACCACACAGAGGTGACTTCCCCGGGGCTCAGATGAGGAAAACGGCAGGTCCTATGAAAGAGAAGGGACCGGGGGCGCCTGGGTGGCGCAGTCGGTTGAGCGTCCGACTTCAGCCAGGTCACGATCTCGCGGTCCGTGAGTTCGAGCCCCACGTCGGGCTCTGCGCTGATGGCTCAGAGCCTGGAGCCTGTTTCCGATTCTGTGTCTCCCTCTCTCTCTGCCCCTCCCCCGTTCATGCTCTGTCTCTCTCTGTCCCAAAAAATAAATAAATGTTGAAAAAAAAAATTTAAAAAAAAAAAAAAAGAAAGAGAAGGGACCGTCTGGACACCCGTGACCACCATACCTACCGCACAGGTCCCGAAACCAGACTGCCTTACCTTCAAATCTCTGTAAACAACAAACCGATTGTGCATGTGCTCCAGCCCCAGGATGATTTCGGTGGCATAAAACCGCATCTCCTTCTCAGAAAATACCCCATGCTGGGAAAGGTGATAGTGCAAATCGCCCCCTGGAATCAGAGAAGGACAGGTCAAGGCAAAGCATGTTAATTTGCAAGAAACAAAAAACGTCATCGTAAATCGTTAGGACCCAGTACAAAAAGGCAAACTTAGCTCCTGCTTCGTATATATCTGTCTTTGACTTGCCTAGTCTGACAAAACACTTTCGAGAGTACAGAGGAAGCTTGTACATTGTTAACACTTAAATGCAGGGGTGGGTGGCCACAGCAATAGACAACGAAGCCATCATTCGCAGACTGGGAATCCAGCTCCCACATGTACCCTCGCAAGCTAACCTGCTTGGATCACTAACTTCCTGTCTAATGAACAGGTCATGACATGGTTGACCCAGTAGCCGGCTTGGCAACTGGCTCCGGGGACAATAAATGAATGAGCAAACAAACAAAACGATCATACCGAGAGACAGATGATAAAGCGGATGCAACCGTAAAATTGTAACTGGTGAAATCCAGGTAGGTGGGGATTTGGGTGTTCCCCGTACAATTTCTTCAGTTTTGCCCTGTGTTTGTAGTTTTCCATAATAAAACGTTTGGAAAAAATCAATTCCCATATGGGCTCAAGTTACACAGTGAGAGAATGCCACCAACAGGATAAGGGAATGTTCTCATAAGCTGTCAAGGAATAGCTTCTACTGATCTAGAAAAGTTCACGTGTGCCCACTGTATGGCCCTGCTTTTGTAAGCACCTTCCCTTCCACACACACGTGTTCCTGTAGAACCACTGGCAGGTCAAGATGTAAGATGTGCAGGATCCCAGAGGCCCCGTGCCCTTCCCTGTCAATGCCTCAGCCCCTGGCCCCTCGGTTAGGCCAAGGGGACTTCAATCTGACCTTCCACCATCCGTTCACCTTAACCGTTCTGAGAGTGCTAACCGTGGAATCACGCAGGACATGTGCTATGGTGTCTGGCTTCTTGGCCCACTATTAACGTCTGTGAAATTCCTCCACGCTGTTGAATAGGTCTGGCTTTGGGTCAAACCCTCCAAATGTAACCGAACTTCAAATGAACTTCCAAAAAAGGAAGCTGTGCATTTGTTGTCCCGGATGCCTTTTGCGTCAGCTCTTGTTACGGAAAACGCTTTGAGTACATGCCGTGTCACTCTCTAGCATTAGAAAGCTACTTTTTTAGCTAGAACTTTGTCGGCACTCATAGCTTACAAGACCAATTGACGGCTGGTCCGTCCAGCCAGAAGCCGGGCTGGCCCACAGCCAGTCCTTCAAAGTCGGCTTCCTAATATATCTTTGGCCTACGTTCTTATGAGGCATTTCATTCCTAAAAGTTGAGGGTTAGGAAACAAGCTAATTAAAGATCTAGGCCAGCTGCGTTCCAGAAGATGAAGTTTACGTCGTTTGTGAAAATCTCTTCCGGAAAGTGCAAACTTCCTGGTGAGAAACTGGGAGGGCGCAGAGGGGAATTTAAAATGAATTTCAATGGAAACTTGAAGAGCAGAAGGTTTCCTTAAATTTTGGGGGGAAACCCACTTATCCCAGAGACCCAAACTGCCGGCGTGTGCAGATCAGGGTGTGCTGAGGTCTCACATCACGGCCAAGTCTCTCCCTGCGCTCAGACTTCCTGCGTGTTGCTCACCGTTCATCAGATCCAAGATGAAGCATAGTTTATCTGGAGTATGGAAGGCATAGGTCATACAGACAATGAAAGGGCAGTCCTAGGGAGGAAAAAAAAAAGCCACAGTTTGTCAGAAAAACAAAAGCTGTCCCGGGTAGCACATCTTCTACCAGACAGCATCCACAGGTCTCGTCCATGCCGCTGCCCTGTGCGTTGAGCAGAGACCCCTCCTTAGGAACCTTAACCGTCCCACCAAAACGGATCTGGTTACATGACAAAATGCACACGGACAGAGTGGAGATGAATTCAAAGGTCTTGTCTCTCGCCAACTCAACCATGACCCTTCTATCTGCAGCTTCTTCAAAGGACCCAGACTCTACAGAAAGATATCGCTGCCCTGCCAGGCTCTCTGTTGCTCTACATTTTGGTTCTGGCTAGTCAAGTATCCGTTTCTCTCTCTGATTCTGAGGTTGGAAGAACCATACCCCAGTGGGAGGAAATATCTATACTACCGTCTTGAGACGCTGAGCATAAAAAGAGAACGCAGCTAGCTTTCAAAGTAGAAAAATACATCAGAGTCGGGGACTGAATAATTCAATTGTAAAGATGTCAGTTTTCCCTCAAAGTCATCTAGAAATTCTATGCAAGTTAAAAAAGAATTTTTAATGTTTTATTTATTCTCGAGAGAGAGAGTGCAAGCGGGAGTGGGGGAGGGACGGAGAGAGAGGCGGGAACAGAAGATCTGAAGCGGGCTCTGCGCTGACAGCAGCGAGCCCGATGCGGGGCTCGAATTCACAAAGTTTGATCATGACCTGAGCCAATATCGGATGCTCAACCAACTGAGCCACCCAGTCGCCCGGCTACAATTTTAATTAAAGTGAAAATTGAGCTGATTCCAAAATGTATATGGAGATGTGCACAGCCAGGAAAAATTCACTCTAGAAGAAAAAGCCAGAAAAGTCATAGTGCCAGATATTAAGACTTATTGTGTGTGTGTGTGTGTGTATATATATATATATATATGAATTATTTTATATATATTATATATATCTGTATTTTTATATTTATACTTATGTTTTATATATTATATATAAATATATATTTATATGTGTTTTATATATTATATATAAATATATATTTATATATATTTATATATTTACATATATTTATTTATGTATATTATATATAAATATGCATAATATGTATAAATATATATATTTTTAATGTTTATTTTTGAGAGAGAGAGAGAGACAGAGAGAGAGAGAGAGATAGAGTGTGAGCAAGGGTGGGGCAGAGAACGAGGGGGACACAGAATCCGAAGCAGGTTCCAGGCTCTGAGCTGTCAGCGCAGAGCCGGATGCGGGGCTCGAACCCATGAACTGTGAGATCGTGGCCTGAGCCAAAGTCTGAAACTTAACTGACTGAGCCACTCACGTGCCCCAAAAGTTATTATAAAGCAACAGTAAATCAGACAGTGTGGTAGTGGCCCAAGAACAGACAGACCAACAGAACAGAAGAGAGAATCCTGACATAGACTCACACACAAATGGTCAACCGATTTGTGATAAAGTGACACAACAGGGTGGGGGGAAAGGATGGCCCTTCCGTGATATGCGGGAACAAATGGATATTTGTACAACAGAATGTGAATGCCCGCCCCTACCTCACGCCACACACTGAAGTCAACTTCAGGACGACAAAGATCTGAAGGGAAAACAATAAATATTCTAGAGGAAAGCAAAAGAGAGTATCTTTGTGACCCTAGGGTAAGTAAAGATTTCTCAGGCCACCCAAAAGCACTAATGGGGGAAGTACTGCTAAACTGCACAAAAATAAAATCAAGAACTTCTGGCCTTCAGAAAACACTATCAAGAGAGTAAAAAGGCAAGTCACAGAATAGGAAAAGACATCTGCAATCCATACATGCAGAAAGGACTCATACTTAGAATACATAAAGAGCTCTCATAAATCAATAAAGGAAAAGGCAAACGACCCAACAGAGCAGTGGCAAAAAACGGCAATAGTAGGAGTAATAATAACAATATAAATGAACAAACCAGCCAACAAACCAATAAAGGCACTAAACATCGGAGGGTCATCGAATGGCTCACAAGCCGATGGACAGGTGCTGGGCGTCAGCGGTCACCAAGGAGATGTGTCCTCACAGTGTGTTATCGCTAAACCCCAAGAGAATGGGCAAAATCAAAAAGACCACCAAGGCCAAGTGGCTGGAAAGACAGGGTGTAAACGGAACCCCCACATACGGCACCCAGGAGCGCATGGTGCCAACAACTGCTCTGGCAGCTGGTCGGGGCCATCTGCCGAAACTGGGCCCCGTGTGCAAGCCCCAGGCGTCAGCACTTCCACCGCCAGCTGCACACCTCACAGCAGCCCGTACCCAACGTGCTCTAAGAGAACTGCAAGAGAATGCTCCTCGCAGCACTGTTCACAGGAGCCCCAAGCGGCAAGTAACCCGGATGTCTACCGGTAATTAGAACAGATGCGTGAACCGCGGTCACTTTGTGCGGGGGAATGCTACACAGCAAGGGTCAGCAAGTTTGTGTACAAGGGGCTAGACACGAATTATTTTCGGTTTTGCAGGCTCCAGGCCACCTCTGTCACACATCCTTTGTTTATTTTCCGTACAATGCCTCAGGAACGGAAAACCCATTGCCAGTCCACGGGCCCTACAGAAAAAAAGGCCGCAAGCTAGATCTGGTCCGGCGGCCATACGCAGGTTGCAGACCTCTGCTACGTAGCCGCAGAATGTACCATGGCCACGTGCGATGATGCAGGTGAATCTCACAAGCCACGCTGAGTGAGAGAAGCCAGATGAGAGAGGGCACATGTATACCAAGTTCAAACACAGGCAAAGCCAAATTAAATGACAGTGTTAGATGTCTGGGTAGTAGTTAACCTGGGCGCGGGGTAGGTGACTGGAAGAGGCACAAGACTTCAGGAATATGAGTAACTTTATTTTATTTTATTTATCTATTTATTTATTTATTTATTATTTTTAATGTTTATTTTTGAGAGAGAGCATAAGCGGGGAGGGGCAAAGAGAGAGAGAGAGAGAGAGAGAGAGAGAGAGAGAGATTAGGGACAGAGGATCTGAAGGCAGGCTCTGCACCGACAGCAGTGAGCCCGACGCAGGGCTCAAACTCACAAACGGCAAGATCACGACTGGCGCCGAAGTTGGATGCTCAACCGACTGAGCCACCCAGGTGCCCCAAGGAATACGACTAACTTTCTATCCCTTGATCTGAGTGCTGGATACATGCTTGTGTTCCCTTGTGAAAACTCCTCAGTGCTAAGCCAGATCTATAACTGGGTCCATTTAGATTCTTTATATACACTGTATACTCACCACTCAACTGATTAAAATAGAAACTGGCCAAAAAAACACCCCGCATCTATATCCACTTTCTTAACAGAAACAAAAAAATCATTAAATTCCACAGAAAATAGTCAGGTTTCAACAGAATAATCTATACACTGAATCTGCATCATCCAAACCTCTGTATTAAGGGCATACTGATGCATCTGACTCCTTTCTATACCCGAGGTTCATGAACTTGAATACAATTTCCATGTATCTTCCGGAATGAACTACAAATTTCATTTTGTGATTACCTAGTTTGCCTTAAAACACCGTTGAGATGGTATTAGTGATTACTGGTTTCAAGGCTGATTTTGCTTTAAACAGGCAAAATGAAAGTGCTTTCCTTTTTCTGTTAAAAGCCATGTGGCCTTCCTGGAGGTGGGGGGCACCCTCCCACTTGGAAGCCCTTAGGGAACCACCTTTTTAATAGCCTGCTGAAGATGGCTCATTCTTCTCCTTCTTGAACGGGGCTCCCCACACACTCTGGTTCCTGATCCGATGAGCAATTCATCTGTAGAGCAGAGAGGCGGGTGGACCCCGAACTTAGTGAGGCCAGAGTCCTTCCCAGCTCCAGAGGGCATCTGTACTCACTCCACCAAGGAGACGGTGGGCCCTGCGAAGGGGTATTTCTGAACACAATGGGATATGATCCTTCTAATGGTAGCCCCAAGGAAATGGCAAAAGGCGAACAAAATAGGTTCACTTAAGATCATATGTTATCAAGAAGGGACATGAACTGTAGATTTAGCATCACAGGCTTTCTGAACAGGAAGGGCTCTTTAAAAAAAAAAAAAATCACCTGGTCCTGCGTGTTTAGTTTTAAAATAAAGAAACTAAGGCCCTAAAAAGGGGAAATGACTTGCCTGAGGTCACAAAGAAATGTGGTAGCCAGCCAGGATTTCAACCCCCAGTCTCCTGACCCTCTCCAGGGTTCTATGTTACTTACACTGCTCACAAAGGCTGGGCTTCTGTGGCAAAGTCAAGTAAGAGCTCAGTTAAAGGGATGCGATTCAGTTATCTGTATGCTGACTGCAATCCGTCACCTCTCAGGTGCTGGGCAGATACCACACCAGGTCTCGTGGGAAGCTCGAGACGCAAAGAACCAAATACCGACCAGTGTGAAAAAATGGCAGTTCGGCGATGGGGCTGATACAGTTGTGAACATCATTATGGTTAAGATGTTCTGCCTTGATTACAAATTAAAGGCAGTAAGAACTAAAGGGCCTCGTAGAGGTAGACCCTCAGCAAGGAACTGTCTTCTTTGATTTCCTACCGGTACCGAGCAAAACAGCTTGTATTTTTGCAGGAACTCTGCAAAACTGTGATAAAATACAGCACGAAGTATTTCTTCAAGAAAATTCTCCACCTTGCAGTCAGGAGGAGGCTTCTGTTAACTTCCTGCTTAAAACACTTTGTCTCCAATTGCTAAAAGATTTTTTTTCCTTTTTTAAATCCTCAGTATTGGCCTAGAAAGCTCTTTACAGGCTGGCCTGGCCTGTCGGTCTCCCTCTCCACTCCAACTTCATCTGGAGCTATGCACGCACCACTCGAGACCCCAGCTCAGCTGACCTTCTCCAAAGTCTGCAAAGCCTCCTGAAGCGCCCAGGACCCAGACAAGCACTGACACCTCCTGTGACCTCTGAGGACTATCCCTTGTCACCTCCTCCCTGCTAAGTGCCTCCTGAGCACCGGGCACCTTCTAGAGGTGTCCTGATTACTTATACATTTCTGAGATCATGCGAACACTACCACCTTCCCTCATTCTGTGTAGCTCTGAAAGAGCAGGGACCAAAGTCACAGTTTGGGACCCTCCATCCTGCAGGAGAATGCCTGGCATGATCTAGGCACAGAAACGTGTTTCAAGGAATGAATGACACTTCGGAGGACACTATGTGACTGTTTAATGAAGGTGCTGACTGTTCCTTCTCAGCTATGGACATTCTCACCTGTGGACATACTTATCCTAGTTCTTAATCCTAAAGATTACCCTTTTACTATTCTAGAATCAAACTGGGAATGGTACTGCCACTGTCTCTTTGAAAGGTTGGGGGAAGAAACACTCAACTTGAAATTGGAAGGAAAAACAGGCAAACAAACAAAAAAACCCTCCCAATATAAGGAAAACTGTAATGAGGGACGGCGGTCCAGTCCACGCCAACAGGCTGATCTTAAGTGTAGCCTAGTGAGGTGATTTTAACTTAAAGATGATTAAAGAACCAGAAAAAGTGGCCTTTGATTAGCAAAAAAGGAAAAAATTGCAAATAGTGTTGTTACAGCACTTTTGGTTAAATTATGTATTGATAAGTAAAAAACATCAACCTCTAATTCCCCAAAAATGAAACCAAACAAAAAGGCTTGATACTTGAATTAAAAATATAAATAATTCTTTTAAATTAGCTCAAAGTAGTAGACCAATTTTTTATTTCTTCCCGTAGAGGGTTAAGATGGGTGAAGAATGACCGATACATCTACATAACCATATTCCCCCTCGCCTGAAAAAAGTAACTATAAAAATGCTATGTGAAAACTGTATGTATATTTCTTCAACACTCCCAACGTTTTCCCCACAGGCCTTCTCGAGAATAAACATGCAAGGTGTGGAGATGGCTCATGAAAAATTAATATTCTAATTACCACTTAAAATCTGCAGTAAGGGCACACCCATGTTTGAAATTTAAGGCGATGACATTTCCAATAGACACTAGAAACCAATGCCATTCTTACTGATTCCAACAGTGTGCGAGCTGCTCAGCTTCGGTTCCAGGTAGGTGCAAACGCGGTCACGCACTCAACACGACTCTTACTTGAAATGCTCAATGTCCAGATGTTAGGAGGCAGAGGCACATAGTTAGAGATTATTTATAGCTACAGTGTTCTTTTTTTTATTATGGTTGAGCCAAATTATGAGAATCCTTTACTTCGGTAGCACATAACCTTTCTGAAACTGCTTCAAACGAACCCCAGGAAAACATACACCACAATACATTAAATATAGGTGCTAACCAAAAAACACAGAGCTTAGAAGGTGATCGTAAGACAGGAACACTAGTCAGAGGGTCCATAGACTCTGGCTAAGGAAATTAACCCCTCCGGGTGTCGGGTTCCTTGCTTACTAGTCGAAAAGGGTTCTTTGATTCACCATTAAAGTCTGATTCCTTTATCCTTTGGGTGAGAATGAGCGTGTTTAGAAACCAGCTAGGCTATTGGGAGGCCACACCCTCCCCAATATATCTCACTGCAAATAAACCTTCTTGGCTTGGTGATTAGCTTTAAATTCACAGGGGGAGGCACTCAGCATGCGTCTGGCCACTCCACCCTCATTTCCTGCCCTTCCCTTGGAGACCCGGAGTCCCTGACCCCCTCTGCACGCTGGATGGCAGGCCCTCTGGCACACGCAGGACTGCCCAGGTTTCTGGGACACTGAGTTTTTCTGGGTGTCTTCATACCCATCTGTTCAAATACAGAAACGCCAAGGTTCATACCGTTCACTGCAAAAACGGCCAGAATGGGATCCTGTTTTGCAAGAAGTCACGGGGCAGAAGTTTTTGACACAGGCTGAGCTAAAAATGCTAGGCTGATGGACAAATAAACTGTCCCACAGGTGGAAACACCGTTTTGGAAATGGAAATGACCGAAGTCCACGGCAGCAGGTGAAAAGCAGCCAAGGGCCCCGAAGACAGAGCCACCTGCTCCTGATGGCGCATAGCCCCAAGTGCAATTCGGACTTGAGTAATCCAAGATGCTTCCTCTCTATCTGTTTACAAAGGACGAGAGCGACTTTCCTTGTACTCCAGCTTCTCTGGGTCAGTCCTCCGTCATGCACTCAGTTCTTGACTAGACTCAAGTGATTTCGTTGCCGCTGCCACGATTATTTCCTGCCATCTCGGCAACCACGTTCCGCAGAGAGGAAAGTCATAAAACGGCCACTAAAGGGAGACGTCGTGGGTGTGCATAATGATGGTTGCTAGCACTTTTCCAACTCCCAAATTAAACAGAGATAATATGCGGATTCTACACTATTTATATTAACTTAGTGCTGCTTTTCCCTGCTATAAACGCTCACTCACCCGAAAACTGGCTGGCTGCATAATTTGCCGGGAAAGAATGCCTGCATTTTAAATAAATTGTCTCGATCTGGAAAACCGAGCAACCAGCAAAGACCAGAGCAAGCAGTGCTCCAAACGGAATACTCACCCCTGTGCTCACAAGAGACAACATAATCCTCTCATTTAAGGCTAATGTTTCTCCTTGTTTCATCTTGATCCTCTTCTTATCCAGGCATTTCATTGCGTACCTGGAAACATAAATGTTATTGAAAGAGCTGCGCTGGAAAGAATCCAAGCTGCTTTAAACGATCCATGTCGTACCGGGGAAAGTTTCTAAAGACTCGGGAAGTGTTTGAAAGAAGCAAAATGGTACTTGCTGACTGTCATGCAAAAAAAAAAAAAGAAAAAAATTATAAAAAAGAAATATTTATAACAAATGTATTTTTTAAATTTTGCACGCATTAAGAAAACATTTCAACGTGGAGCGTCCCTCCTCACTCCTTGGGTGGGGGTGGCACACAGTAAGCTCCTTTCCGAGAGGACCGTGTGGAGGAGAGGGGACAGTGACGTTATGGTGGAGAAGCCTGACAAACGCGACCTCAAGTAGGCGGTCAAGGTCAGCATCAACAGTGAGGAGTCATGTTGACGACGGGCACCCACGATAGGACGCGATGAGAATGGTGTTCTGCCACTGGGGTCTTCCTTCCAAAAGCCCACAGCCCCAGTATAACCAGGAGGAAAGCCATGTCTAAACTGGAAGACATCATACAATACACCTGGCCACGGGTCCTCAAAGCAGCACAGACCATCAGAAACAAGGAGAGTCCAAGAAACTACACAGTCTAAAGGAGCCTAAGGGGACGAGAGGACTTAAATGTAACACGGGATCTGGTTAACACAAAAGGCCATTGGGTAAAGAGTAAAGTAAAAAAGTAAAGGGGCGCCTGGGTGGCTCAGACGGTTAAGCGTCCAACTTATGCTCACAGTTCGTGGGTTCGAGCCCCGCATCGGGCTCTGTGCTGACAGCTCGGAGCCTGTTTCAGATTCTGTGTCTCCCTCTCTCTCTGCCCCTCCCCTGCTCATGCTCTCTCTCTGTCTCTCACAGATAAATGAACATTAAAAAAAAATTTTTTTAAAGTAAAGTAAAAAAACCCCAAAAAAGTAGAAACTTCAGTGAATAATAATGTATATTAGTTCATTTGTTAGGACAAATGTTCCATAGTAACGTAAGACAGAGATACTGGGTGTGTTTTTGAACCCTTTCTGTAAACCTAAAATTAGGTGTCAAAAATAAAATTCGAAGTAAAAAGGTATCAGGGGCGCCAGGGTGGCTCAGTCGGTTAAGCATCCATCGGCCTCTTGATTTTGGCTCAGGTCATGATCTTATGGTTTGTGAGATCAAGCCCTGCTTTCGGCTCCATGCTGGGTGCAGGGCCTGCTTGGGATTCTCGATCTCCCTCCCTCTCTGCTTCTCCCTCATGCACTTACTCTCTCTCAAAAATAAATAACATAACATAACATAACATAACATAACATAACATAACATAAAATAAAATGTTTCTTTAAAAAATTTTAAATCAAAATAAAGCTTAAAAACTTAAGCAATAATTAAGATATTAATACCATTACACAAATAGAAGTTCCAGTTAAATGAGAACCTGAAGTAGAGGGATGTGAATAAATTTGGTGAAAATAAAACTTTGAGGGGCGCCTGGGTGGCGCAGTCGGTTAAGCGTCCGACTTCAGCCAGGTCACGATCTCGCGGTCTGTGACTTCGAGCCCCGTGTCAGGCTCTGGGCTGATGGCTCAGAGCCTGGAGCCTGTTTCTGATTCTGTGTCTCCCTCTCTCTCTGCCCCTCCCCCGTTCATGCTCTGTCTCTCTCTGTCCCAAAAATAAATAAAACGATGAAAAAGAAAAAAAAGAAAAAAAAATTTTAAAAACTTTGGACATATTGTTGTTTAGTTGCTACTGTGTGTTGCAGTAGTGTGCGTAATATTTAGCTTTTAGGAACTGTGATTTCAGCAGTGGTCAAGATTTTGCAAGAGTGCAGAGGGCAAGACTCAAACACTGGCAACCAACAAAATGAAAAGGGACGGCCCATGCTCAAAAAGGCACGTTCTAAAATGCTGTTTGATTGGTTTGTTTTTAGTTTTTTTAAGTAATCTCTGCACCCAGCGTGGGGCTCCAATGGACCACCTGGAGATCAAGAGTCACATGCTCCACTCACTGAGCCCACCAGGCAGCCCTGATTTGTTTTTAATCTGGATATTGAAGTTATCGTATTTTCAAATAATAAAAAGAATCCGTTAAGACTTTCATATAAAAGTTGGTGGAGAAGAAAGAGCTGACAACTTAAGCTTTTTGAAGCCTTGGAACAAACTTCTATTAAGGTAATGCAGACATGCTATTTGGCATTCTCTATAATTCTCTTTAACCGCAGGTTAAAGAAAGAAGGATGATTTGTCAGCAGCACAGCAGAAAGCTGAGAGGACATTTTCACAGGGGCCTCGGGGGCTTCAGAACTCTGTGTGTGACTGTAAGTCCCACTTTACAAGGCCCCGGCACACAATGTGGATGTTTGTCTGGCTGTGACGGGACACAGAAAATCCACTTGTTTCTAACCGATCATAACTCACAATGTTATGACTTAGCAAAAGAGAGAGGGATGTTCAAATTTGATATTTGCTTTTCTTTTTAGAGAGAGAGAGAGAGTGCGTGCACAGGAGCAGCATAGAGTGGGTGGTGGGGAGAGAGAGAAAGTGGTTGAGAATGTCAAGCAGGTTCCACGTCCCTCCCGGAGCCCGACATGGAGCTCGATCCCCCAACTCTGGGATCGTGACCTGAGCTGAAATCAAGAGGCAATGCTCCACCGAGCGAGCTACCCAGCCGCCCCCAAATTTGGTAATTTTATCGACTCTCCCAGGAGCTCTTTATAACAAATCCACTGATGGAGACGTTAATGTGCTTAGTTAAGGGATTACACATGAGAACATATGAAGTAACGTGTTCTTCATTCAAGTTCTATGATGAATTTTCAAACTGTGTCCTACTGCTTCTATCACTAGCCCCTACCAGGCTGGCGTTTGGAAGAACGTTCAAACTGCAGACCAGAGAAACTGGCACACACGGGCCTTGAGCCCCTGGGTTAATTAAGCCAGTTGGCTGCCACTGGCTTCTAAGCGAGGTGGGTGGCAGTTCACGGATGGGCGCCAGGATCCACAGGGACTGAGCCTGGCCGCTTCCTAGCCGTGGGACTCCCCGGTAAGTGTCTACCCTTGTCCTAGAAAGTGGGAGACAGTTTTCCACACACAGAGAATAGCGTGAAATAACCAACGTAATGCAGGGACACACGGTGACATTATTGACTTGCACATCATGTGGCAGATTAGCGGATCTCCTAAACACCTGGGCCGTGAGGAAGGCAAGCGAACACATTTGGTGAAATGGAAGCGCCAAAGGAAGAGCAACACTTAGCGTCAAAGTCCACCGCGGGAGTACAGAATCGGGACGAGAGACGGGGCCGCAGAGGACTGTTCGCTAATACGGACTGTGGAACAGGCAGTTATCTGCAGGCTTTACGATGTACCATCCCGTTCAATTCTCACAACCGGGAAGTATTTTCCCCACCCTACAGACTTGGGCGCAGAGGCCGAGAGAAGGCACAAACCTCGTGCCGGCCGGAAAGCGGAAGCCGGGTCTGACCCAGCCATGGGACGCCAGGGCCCCCACTCTGCATCACCAGGCCATCCTGTCTCAGCAGGGCACCAGACTTCAGATGCCCGAGTGCCAGACCCTGGGTTCACCCCACGCAGGGCCCCAAAACAGGAAGACCAGTGGGTGTAAGTTAGTGAAGGTGAATTCCAGCCCCCACCTACTAAAGATCGTGCCAGTTACTGGACCTGTCTGAAAACTAAGAGGGCCACCTGGCAAGGCCGTCAGTGCCCGATCACGGGGAGGACCCGAGCAGAGGCTGAGTGATGACCCGGCGGTGGGGGGAGAAGGACACTGAATTCGCTGACCCCAATTACTCC